ACTTGCTTCCCCTGGAAGTTCTTGTAGCCTACAAACAAGTCTTTTGTCGGTGACTCTGGTAAAACGAGTCAATACACTAGGGAATGCGATCTCTTTTTGAGCTCTCTCAAGCATGGATGAGCTTGAGGTGGAGCTTACTTTAGAGCTCTTGACGTGCATTGAAAAATGTTAAGGCAATACGGATTATCATAACAATTACATAATACTTCGAGTAGATTCTTTTGAGTGAATTCATATGCGTCATAAGCGTAAAGCCGTGGCATTTTTATTGAATTTGTTTATTGTTCATGAAGTTAAAACAAAAAATTCCAGCGGGAAAATGCAACGGCTATAAAACGCCTGCCACACAGGCTACTGAATGAATGATCGTGATCAAAGTCTATAACCGCGACGTATTTACTCACGTGTTTAAATGTTTCACTTGACAAGTTAACTTGAAAGATCACGTGAAAATCGCCGCTTTTGTAGTTAAGAGCATTGTTATAAAAGCAACGTGAGGTGAAAGGTAGGTTTTAATCAGATGCAGCTAGTAAATGCAGTGAACTGCGGCAAGAAAGGAACCTCGTAAACGGATAACTACTTTGGTTCTTTCAACTCTCACCGTCGACCTGTGTTGATCATCTAGCTGAGGAAAGAACAAAGGAAACCAGTCCAGCGAAACTCGCAGAATGGCTAACCATACAGTAGATTTCCACAAGCTTGAAGCAAATGTGAAAACCATTGGAAGCAATCTTGATCAGTTGTTTCTAATACTCATGGGATGCCTTATATTTTGTAAGTATTCCGTCTAATGTTNGCAGAATGGCTAACCATACAGTAGATTTCCACAAGCTTGAAGCAAATGTGAAAACCATTGGAAGCAATCTTGATCAGTTGTTTCTAATACTCATGGGATGCCTTATATTTTGTAAGTATTCCGTCTAATGTTTATTTCTTCTTTTTTTTTCTTATTCTCACTACTTTTCATTACTGTTCAGCTCTTATTCTTTTCCGTACTCTAGTTTGTCTGATTTCAATTCCAGCAAACTTAACAACATTTGTGGAAAACAAAGGAATATTATGTAAACCTTAAACACGTAGAACTCAATTACTATGATCCAATTCCAATAGAAAGCAGTAAAATTTCAATTTCTGCCTTTTTTACGCTTTTCAACTAAACCAATGAGCCTACAACTAAACGTTATCTCCCAAGAATAAAGGTCTCACGTTCGCTTGAATACAAAAGTTCCTTTGTTATCCACAGTAGTCATTGCAAATCAATGCATGGAAACTTCTACATTTCAATTTCATTTGGTTGTCTGCGTTTTCGAAAAGAAGAGCTGATTTCAGCCGTCCTGTAACAGTGTAAGATGAATTGAACTGACTTTTCCGCATGTTTTGGTGTATGAGTGTGAGTCGTCGTCAAGGTTAAAACATCAAAACAATACAATACACGTCTAAAAATCATACAAAGCGAAGACAAAGCGATACGAAACGCGGGAAGATAATTCCTTTTGCCGTGTTAGAAACGGAAGACACTATTATTAGTTTATAATAATTATGAACATTATTTTGATATCATTTTTCCACCGTGATGGAGCTTTTTCTTCCTTGATATCCTGTTAATATACTTTGTTTTTTGCCGTATTTTCAAATAAGTGATTGAGATTTTTACCGGAATGTGCACTTATCCGTCGGGTGTGTGATACAATGTGAATAGAAAACTGACCTGATGGTCGTGCTTATGTAATCTTCACGGAATATGGACGGCAAGCAGTTATTTTATAAAAACAGGATCATTAACGCATCCGGGGTAACTGCATATTGCTGCGATCAAGGGACAGAAATGTTCTGTATGAAACTGTGCTTGATACAAAAACTAAATGGTGGTATCTCTTTAAGGACGGAATTGAATGGAGAAAGAAGTTGCGCTCGTCTTTTTAACAAGCGTGTGTTCTTCTTTGTAACTAAAGCGCGAGTCTTTGAAACTTACATCGTATTTTTTGTACACTGATTAGCTTTTTGCGGGAAGGAAACACAAAGTAACTTCAGAATACAGGTCCATCTTCCCTCAAAGGATGAGTCATATCACAATAGATGGTTTTGTTATTGTTTTCTTTTTGAAAGAAAAAAAACGTGATTTCTTTATGCGTACGTGTTGATAGGAAAAACTGTTTGAATGCAGAGGTCCACGCAACACGTAAATAAAACTGACTGGTCCCTCTTGCCGGATCTCTAATCAAAGAGATGCTGTAGCCAGACGTCACTTAAAGTGTAAAATAAAACAAAACTGAATACAGGACTGGCCGATTACGGCAACGGTTGCAACATTGTTCCAACATTGCAACGCTGTGTTGCCCTAAAAATTGTCCTTGCGAATAGTCTCGTCTAACATCACCTTTATGATTGATTTGTATACGAACGAAGTGTTTCAATGCTGAATTCCTGTTTTTCCGTAATAAATTAACTGGCTTCCTTTTCCCGAAGAAAGGAGTATAGAAAGAAACTATAAAACACTTCATTTTCTCGAGCAGTGCTTGCGTGGAATGTTTGCTCCCTGCATGCTAACTGTAGGTCTTCGGTTTCCAAGCGACCCTTTGACGCCGCGCCTGAGCCTCGTCGTTGTCTGCGAAAGTCTAGGCCCGAATATGCCACGACGCCTGCGCGTTCAAAAACAGAAACGGTTGTTCAAAAAGCCTATTTTTTATGCCTAATTTCGGGATATTCGCCGAGCGCAAACACTCAGAACATTCGCCTAAAGTGAAAAACATATATCACTTGAATATCAGCTTATCAATCAACTGAACCCAAAATATGACATGTTCCTTTTGCAGACTAAATGAAATTGAAACCAAGTTAATGGACCTTAGCTCGCACGAGTCTACTGTACTGTCTCTGAAAGAGCACCTAGACAACTGACTATACCATCGGAGCAGGGTCCATGATTCCGAGATATTTCAGTTACTCGTTTAATATATATATCTGTTAAAAAAAATGCATTTTTTGGTATGTTTAGTTTCGAAGATAAATAAAATACCATTTGATCTTTTTTTCCGATATTCAGGCTAGGAAGGCTCAGTATTTCCGGAATTACACAAATATTGTTTTCAAGAAACCTAACCAAACAAAAGGCACATATACCGTTTACGGTAAAATTGAAACGTTATATACTCTGCTGTTGAGCCTTTTTCCACCATGATTAACTCGGTATTAACGTGCTTCGTTATTTACTATATTTGAAAAGCTGGCGTTAACTGTTTTAAAAGCCCTGTCTGTAGCAACTTTTGTTCGACTAGAAACACGTAGGTCACTTGTTTTTAGACTTGATAAAACGCCGAACTGAGGTGGTTTTAAATCTATCCGATGCGCTGAAAATTTTTTCATAGGTTTTAGATTGTTTTCATCAAGAAAGCGGTTGTAAATAAACTTAAGCGCGTAGAATTCAAAGGGCAACTGTATCATAGCCGTCGGGTCCTTAAGAACTTTGGACTCTTCTTTCACTTTTTGTCGACTTTTGGGTTGGATCAACTTAAACATAACTGATTTTCATCTGTACTACAATTATCTCGTGATCTTCATATCTTCTTCTCCAGCTGCTCTCCACTGATTAGTCTTAATAAAGTTTTAACCATATTAATCCCTTAATTAAAATCCCTATGGCGTACTTACAGACGTCATCTACTTCCGCGTGCAGAGAAAGAACAGGGGGAGGGGAGAGAGATACGCAGGTTGAGGTCACGTATTGTATTCAAATCTGGACTGGTGGGACTCTATCATGGTGTAGCCTCTTTTGGAACGTTTCGGCCGATACGTGTGCGATATGCCGCTGAAAAAGATCTCGACAGTCTAAAGAAGTCACTGGGATAGGGTATAGATATCAGCTGGTAATGTAGATATCAAAGGGCATCATCTACTTTTAAAACTGATCATGAGGAATTTGGGTATCCGGAATTAAAGCTTTTATGTCTGAAGTAGGGTGAGGGATTTTGGCGGCATCCGTCGAATCTGGAACAGAGGAAAGTTCGTCTCCAGCCTAAGTTGTAAATGTTTAGGCGGTACACTGCGCAAATTAACAACACATTCGCTGTAACCGGACTTATCCCCAGATTGGAAAGGTTTACCCGGTTGGCGTGTTTTGTGTTCTACTTCCAGTGTTGTTAAGCGTTACTGATCAATTTTGAATGACAAAGTGTACCTTAAAATAGACTACTAACACTTAATAACCAGCTTCCTCTCCATCATATTTTTTCCCCTTTCCGATCCTTCCTTAACCTTCAAAAAAAATAACTGTGTTATCGGTATGTACCGACACGCAGGTGCTCGTTTGGTTTTGTGCCCGGAGCCGATGTTGCTTCATCCAACCTATTCGGCTAGTTTAAGGCAAAAGTAACTAATTAAATTGAAAGCATATAGCCATGGGAATATATGCCTTTCTTGTATTTAGGAAATCTACAGGACAAAAAAGTCACTTTCGATTAGCCAGTATAGTGTCCCTTGAACAATATTGGTTGACCAGGGTGAATTTCATCACTCCTCCCCTAAGTGGCTCCAACAGAACCCGTAGGGTACCCGGGGGCCATAGCAACACAATATTTATAACGAATTGTACAAAAGACAAGTAAAACCTTTTGCTTGAAATAGTCACACTCTAGTCTATAAACAAAAACATGGAACTGTTGTCCTTTTAGACTAAAATAAAATCCAAGGTTAACATATTCGTTGTGTTTATTAGAGACGATCAAAGTCTCCTTTTTTCCACGTGCAATATTTTCCGCATGACGTTTTAACACCTCCAAATCACGTGATTTAACAATAGCAATGTTTCCGGGTCTTACATAACACGCACACTCTCGTGGAGACCTTTACTTGAGGCGTGAGTGGTTGCTAGATAAGTTCTTTCAGTCGGCCGCTCAGCTGAATTGTTGACCTCTCTCAAACCTTCCTGCAAAAGAGCGAGATTTATTCTAAACTGGTCTTGGTGTCTCTGTTTGGATTCGAACCAAGTAAGCAAGGACTACAAAATGGAAGGCAACATGTCGACTGAAACCCCCACGACAGTGAGCCAGATAGGTACTATTGCTAGCAACCTGGACCAGTTCTTCTTAATAGTCATGGGCTGCCTAATCTTTTGTAAGTACTTTAGTGATTATATATTGTAAGTACTTTTCCTCTCAATTTTCTATTTACTATCGCAAGACTTTAACTTCAGTGAAAAGTTTCTAAAATATTTTAAAAATCTTAATTCACTTTTGACTTATTTTAAAAGTTGTCTAAATAATCATGATTCAGTATGAGTTATCGAAAAATATGGTGCTAGAATCAAGCCTGATATTACATGCAAGTGCTGTGTCATTGCTCTACATTTATCACGTTAAAAGTTCCAAGTCTTTTAATCATACTACCCGGTATACTAAAGCAGTAACGCTTTCTTTTCCATGTTGATAACGCCCGGCTTTTTCACCTGTTCCGCCTCAACGATTGAAAGTGTTTAACTACAACAGATGTCAATGCGTGCATTAATCAACCCGAAATTTTTTTCTGTTTTCTTTTGTTTTTAAGTTATTTGATTTATCACCTAAGCATTCAGGGCATTTCTATTCTGCAATCAGCCAATTTTAATTTGGATGAAGTTTAGTTCACTCCAGTTAGATCAAAGTACAAGTTATGCAGTCTCTATAAAAGTTTAACAGATTTTCCACTCAGCTATGTGTCCATATTTATTTGTACGTAAATATCGACTGAAGGAGGTTCATTGTCATTTCTGTTTGATTTGCGATCGTTTATCGGTTTCGATCAATGACTACGCGTTGTTTCGTTTCCTCTCTTCCTCGGTAAACCGTATAAGTTAAGAAGTTGTTTTCCTTTTGTTAATTTTGCTTTGAATTCTTTCTTTGTAGAGTCAATTTTCTTCCCTTTTTTTTCGTATTTAATTTCATTTATTGACTCATTTATTTACCATGCGGATAAGACCAGACAAGTGCTTGCAGCTGTTCTTTCATTAACGGAAACACAGGCAAAAAAGCCGAAACGTGATTTTTTGCCCCCGACGCAATTCCATTTACCACAAGTGCAAACTTCTCGCACCAGTTAAACACACATTTTTAGAGACGTCCTTTGAACGCTTTTGAGTTGGATATTTCTGACATACTAAAAATAATAACAAATTTTAGAGGAAGGAAGATTTCTCCATTGGTTCTGTTTTCTTAAGGGACTGTATAAAACCAGTAAATTACTTGGCAAAGACTTGTAATACAGTCAGATGCCGTTATCAACGACCCCTCTCTCTCTCTCACGTACTCTGGATTGAGACCTTTGTCTAGACGATGTACTACATGTTCTCTTGACATTATTTAATTGAAGACAGAAGATATTTGGACTAAGAACAAATTGATTCAGACTTTCGCCTTAGCCTGTTAAGCATTGTCCAAAATCTGTCGAATCACGCATGCTTCTCATAATGCGAACCTCTATATGGGTACCTGCGAAAGTCGATGTCTTTGCGTGTTTTCCATTAAATCGTCTATTTTTCAGCCGAAATCGACGCATATCAAGAAGTGTTTTGCGTGGTAACGCTACTAGCAGCTTAACACAACCACAGCAACGACAGAAACGAGAAAGTTAGCAAAACAAAAACTCTGAACGAACAGTACACTTTTTGGCAGGTTTCCCTTGCTGTCATTGCACGACTTACGTTGTCAAACGTGACTGGAATGGCAATGCAATCCTCGCTTTAATCTGTAAGATCGCCGCAACTGATTTCGTCGGAAATGCTAATACAGCGGCTTCAATCTGATAACGTTTTTCATCTGTTCTGGCCACAATTGCACATTCTCAATGTAAGAGCAGTAGCGTATGCCAATGCTTTTTCTTAACCGAGCCGAATATGACGTATAAAAAAAGATGATACCAGCTGGCCCACTTTTAGAAACGTTAACTAGCTGTAGTCGATCTATGAGCCCTATGTCAAACAAAACATGAATGTCAATGAAGAGATGAAGCTCTTAGGAAACGTTAATTCTCTTCTACCATACTGAGATAGAGATGTCTGCAACTGAGACTCGGCTGCGGTTAAGGCTTTCAAGTTTTTAAGATACTAGCGGCTGGCTTACAATCGTAAATGAAACAAAAACGAAATAAACAGAAAAATAAGCGAGTCTCGCATTTGCTCAGTTTAGTAAGAGTCAAACTCCGCAAAGGAAAGGATAAACATGGTCAAACTGTCAGGCATGCAGACAAGCAAAGTCAATGAATGTATGTGATTGTGCCCGTTTGAGATCGAGCTTTTATTTCCTGTTATGCTAGTCCAAAGACTAAAATTCTAGTCTGGCCTTAAGAACTACAACTTGTTCAGTTGTTCTGAGCGTGTAACAACGCTCCTTGCCTTGCACACCCCTTGAATTTTATTCTTTACTATCTAGGAGTCAAAGTCCATCGTCCTTTACAAAGGACATCTGGTCTGCATTTGTAAACTCTACCAGCTGTTTTTGTTTTTTCTATAATTGATGTGACTGGTCAGTTTTGATCAAGATGTAAACAAAGGAAATGTCGTGTTAAATCTTGATCTATCTAAGCTTCTTCTCGGAATACCGCATTGGGGTATGGAAGAAAGAGCTCAGTTTACGTTTTGCACTTCGCGATTTAGGTCGAAGGGATGGCGTGCAAAAACTGAAGGAGAGAGAAGAGAAAGACTCAGTTAACTTGTATCCGTGGCAATATAGAAAAACGCTTATTCTAGATCATAACAAAAACAAGTAGTTGGCGTTTGAAATATTTCACTGCTGCTTAAGGAAGGATTGTAACTGGCAAAACATCAAGAAAAAAAGGTAGCCTCCCGAATGCAGAGTGAGGCGTTCTTACATCACGAAACACTGAGAAAGTTGGCTTAGAATGCCGTAGAAAACATCCTTTCCTACGTAACAGAATTTGTTATTCCTAAGTTGATTTATCGCGAGAGAACTCCGATGATCCCTCACGGCATGAGGCACTGACGCTTCATCGTTTTCATGACTAACAGCGCGAGTTTTGCATTAGACGAGCCTCTCTACTTATAAGGCCGAGGACGTCGCTTTCGTAGCGCGTTTTCCATCAAAAAGTCGGTTTTTGAACGTCGCATTTTGTGTAGTAACGCTTCTGGCGCGGAGCTCGAGTAATAAGCAAAAGAATAACTCTGAGCGCGCAGAACACTTTTTGGCAGATTTCTCTCCCCTATCGCACGATTAACGTTGTCAAACGTCATCGGAATCAGTGGCAATGCGATCGACGCTTTAATTACGTTCTATTGAAGATCATCGTTTAATTTGTCAATAGCGATCCTCAAAACTTCGATTTGGCCTCGGAACGTTTGTGTTCAGGTTATCTACTAGAGCTCTCCAAAAACGACCGACAAAGCCGGTTCAAACTTGTTTAACACTGATTTTTCTCGTTTGAAACAAATTTAATCATTTCTGGCGCCACTAAACTAGACTCCTCTTAGTTACAAACTTTTACGTATATTCGTGTATCATAAAAGAAAGACAAAAATTAGGGATTTCTCGAAGCAGCCTTCTTGATCTGCCTGTAACTACTACAGCAATTCTACAAAAGAGTTGTTTGGCATTTTTAGCTGTTCCTGTCAGTTTCCAAAATTAGAAAACACTTTGCAAAACGAAGAACTTTACCTCTGTTACATTTTTGTTAGCAGTAATACATTTCGGATGCGTGCAAAGAATATTAATAAAGAGAGAGAAGATCAAGACTATAAACTATCAATGGCAATATAGCCAAAATTAGATGGCAAAATAATGTGATGTCTACCCAGCATCCTCTTTTCTCAAGTAAATTAGTGGTTTCTCCAAGAAGCCTGGAGAAACTGCCTATTTACTGCGCAGCTAGATGTTCGGCTTAATCTGCGGAAATTGGCTATTGAGTGTGTGATTTTTAGTCGCTTCACCATCTAAGAAAGTGTGAAATGAAATCTTCAGATTCAAAAACAGCGGACAGAAATGAACGGCTAACTTTGTTCAAAACAAAGAGACTACAAATGTTACGTATTCAATACTAGTTTGCGTCAATACTAGTTTGCTAGTAGTCTGATACTAGTTTGCGTCAGCCCTAAATCGCAGGTATTTTGACGGCTCTTTTTCAGCTTTTCCATGTTCGAACTGGATCTTTTATTCACATATTTCGCAAAATGTGTTTCACGATGTCTTTCAATCGATATCTTTTTTGCCATGATTACGTTACATTGCCGATTGTACGTAAAACGTACGCGCTAATATTTGGATATGGAAAATAGTAGATGTTATCTTTGCGCCACTAGAATAACCCCGTCGGCCTGTCTGCAAATATACCAGTCTTCATATATAGTATCAGATCTAAGAAATACTTTCACTTTTACTAGGGGGTGTTTTTCGCGTGCGTCTTGGTAAACATTTACCAATAGGTGTATTTACGTATAGGAACTAGATCACAGGAAAGATATTGTCCAACCTATTTTTATTTGCTCACTCAGAGTTAAGTTTGTGCAGACGTAAGCATAAAAAGGAAATGAAAAACAGTGAAAAGAATAATGTGCGAAAAAGTTGTACTTGCACGCGAGATTGGGCTTATCCTTTTAGCCATGCGCAATTCCGGCATCGGAGCCTTTAGTTACAATGTACTTTAGAGTCGATACATGACGATAGTTAAAAATCCTATTATCTTAATATTGGATTGAGTTGCCTTTTTCATTTGCGTCATTCAGTGAACTCATAATTCATCGCGTACAATTGACGGATCAACATCATTTAAAAAAAGATAAATGAAACCTCCGATGATACGTGTAAATTGCGTGAAAGGATGATCTCTTGTGTATTGGCAAAAATGCGGTCACGAACGTCCGCACAGATTAATATTGGAAAGAAGCCTTTGTAGGTGAAAACACGAAAGACTTTGTTATACCTAACTTGGTAAAAACACTTNGATTGTACGTAAAACGTACGCGCTAATATTTGGATATGGAAAATAGTAGATGTTATCTTTGCGCCACTAGAATAACCCCGTCGGCCTGTCTGCAAATATACCAGTCTTCATATATAGTATCAGATCTAAGAAATACTTTCACTTTTACTAGGGGGTGTTTTTCGCGTGCGTCTTGGTAAACATTTACCAATAGGTGTATTTACGTATAGGAACTAGATCACAGGAAAGATATTGTCCAACCTATTTTTATTTGCTCACTCAGAGTTAAGTTTGTGCAGACGTAAGCATAAAAAGGAAATGAAAAACAGTGAAAAGAATAATGTGCGAAAAAGTTGTACTTGCACGCGAGATTGGGCTTATCCTTTTAGCCATGCGCAATTCCGGCATCGGAGCCTTTAGTTACAATGTACTTTAGAGTCGATACATGACGATAGTTAAAAATCTTATTATCTTAATATTGGATTGAGTTGCCTTTTTCATTTGCGTCATTCAGTGAACTCATAATTCATCGCGTACAATTGACGGATCAACATCATTTAAAAAAAGATAAATGAAACCTCCGATGATACGTGTAAATTGCGTGAAAGGATGATCTCTTGTGTATTGGCAAAAATGCGGTCACGAACGTCCGCACAGATTAATATTGGAAAGAAGCCTTTGTAGGTGAAAACACGAAAGACTTTGTTATACCTAACTTGGTAAAAACACTTCAGATCTTTTCTTTTTCTCTCTCTCTATCTATCTTCTTTTTCCTTATTTTATCTAACTCGGTTCTAGGGTACGTCGCGACGTATTCAAATTCAACCACCAGTTTCCTTATTTAACTTTTCAATTCCTTTTCGGCGCGCACCGCAGTGAAGTTCTCTATCAACGGGAAACAGAACAAATGCGCTCTAAGGACCATTAAAATCTTGGAATGCGAGCTACAGCAAGGAAATGCAGTGATATTGAATTTGCGTCAAAATAAACGACCTACTAAGTATTTACAATCGGTAAAAGTGTAAGGGTGTGGGTTCTTGTCAACTTCGACTTAAAGATGTTTAGGTGAGACTCGATGTAGTTTGACGCTACCGACAGTGAATTGGACTTAAGGTTCAGCAGTCTTTTATCGAGGTTATTAGGGCAAAACTTAGACTCATGAATGGTCATTCTGAAAGGCAGCAAGAAGCAATGTATGATGTTTAACGACATCCAGTACACTGTCCGCGACGGGTGTTTACGAGGGTTGATAGCGGAAAAATACCGACGCAGAACCAAGTGCGTAATTATAGTATGTCATCCCACAAAAGTGCTTATTAAAATGCACTTAGGAGTATGTAGTTGTTGATCTCTTAATATCTCTTAAACTTTATGATTTTATTTCGCTAATACCACTCTCAACAACTATTCAGACTCCGCAAATTATTTAGAAAACTCATGTCGCAATGTCGATGTCAGACTTTTTTTTCTTTCAATAGCGTATTCGTCTGTTCTTTCTAAGCATGCGCACAGAGCAAGGCTTCTATTGTTTGGGGGGCGTTGAGTGTCGGCGCTTATTTCGTCATTCCAATTCAAAATTTAATTTTATGGACTAGTAGGCACGAAAAACAATAATATGTTGTTACGGTAAACACACTGATCTTTCAATTTCCAATGCCTTTCTCGAAAGTTCGGAAATATGACAGAAATAGGACTTTATATCTCTTTCTAAAACCACTTTCCAAACGTTAAAACCTGCAAAACCCGGTATCGTGACAGCGCCTGATATAACCAAACTTAAATAACACTTAAGAGAATCAATAGTCTTTGTTTCTTAACAACAGATTAGAAATCAAAACGTGCTAGCTGGCATCGATTGAACATTTTTAGATCTTTTGACCAATGCAATGAACGGCGGTTTGCTTTAAAGTCAACAAAATAACTTCATATCCGTTTTCATGGAGCCTTTTAACTTGGGCTCTTAGTTACGCGGTAGGAGTTCCATTTTTGTTTCTTAATTGTTTTATTTGAATAGATTGACCTTCGGAACTGCCTCTCTTATTAGAATTGTGCCCAAAAAAGACTGTTTTCATCGAATGGTAACAGGAAATGCTTTTTTTCAAGGAGAAAAATTCGTTTACCAGAGACCATTTTCTCGCCAAGGGGTTCGCTTATTGCTTATCTCTAACGCGCTAAGCAATGCACAACAATTTTGTATGATGCAATATTTTTTTTTCGCGGTTCATTTCATTGTTTAATAGGCACTGGATAACGAGCGTGTTTGCATTCCCGTAACAATATGATGTCGCATAAATCACGGAAAATAGAGAGAAAATAACGTGACTTCCAATCATTCATAACATGTCGCGTGAAAATTGTTATGTAACTTTAGTATGGGGGAATAATGAAAAGAAACAAATACCATGGGCTAGGGAGGACTTTTCTTTCAATATGAACTCGAAAAAAACGATAATTAGTTTGTGTATTTGGTTTACAAATGGTTTGATCCGCACATTTTTATGGTCATACACACCCCCAACCCAACCCGACACAACTCCTCTTCCTCCAAACAAAACTGAGGAGATGTCTTTCACGTGTTCTTGTGATCACGCTCAATATCGCATACAGTGATCAAAAGTTTTATCTCTTAAGGGTTGTGCACAGTGATAATGTACGATATTTGCCTTAACTGAGATAAAAACAAATGACGTTGGTAACTAAACAATAGCGAGCTTGAGCAGAATGTTTCTGAAAAAATGCATTTGCGTTCTTTCAATCTTTATTGGGTTAGCTTTTAAGCCAAATGTAGCCGAATTTTCCGGTTTCAGACCCTCATCCAGTACCTTACGACCAGAGGTTTTTCTCTTGCATGGCTTTTAGCGTTTATGCCAACGCAGAAGAGAAGGCTTCTGCTCGCAGGGTAGCATCCAGTAATAGAAAAGAAAATTCGTCGTCGTGTGTCCACGTCTTCCATGAAACGTCACATTAGGACTTAGTTTCACTTCGTGGTCTTGCTGTGGACGTTTCAGAAGTATACCAAAAAGCGTGATGCTCGTGAGAGTTGTTGCTTTGCTTATTAACCCTTTAAGTCCCAAGAGTGATCAGCATGAAATTTCTCCTTATAATATCAGTACTTAAGGAAACAGAGTGGTCATGAGAATTGAGTACATGAATCAGGGAAGATGAGTCTAATTGATATTTCAACAAATTCTCCCAACTACTTATATTGAAAAAGTATAGAGACTGTAAATGGGAATCTCAGTTTTGATATTAGGGTTTAAAGGGTTAAAGTTACTGCTTTTTTGACGTCCTCGTTGCCGTCGTCGTGATAGTTGCTTAAGCTTCAAAATGACATGACCGCATTAACCACTTTAGAAACCAGTACAGCGTGCTAGTCACCGAAAGTAGAGTCAATGGGCGCTTTACATTCGACCAAAAATTCCCAAATTTTCGATTGCTACAACAAATGGAACGAACCATTTCGGTTTGGCTCGACCGGAATATTCGGGTCCAGCCTTGAAGGTGGTCCACTTTGACCGGTCTGGGCATTTCGGTCAGTCGGACCGAAATGTCCCTTTCCATTTGACAAAATTGTTGTTCCCAGTACAGCTCTTTTGTACCCAGCTTACAAGAACAATAACCAAACGCGTAGCCTGCGAAAACAGCCGCACTGAGCAGGTGGAATTTCTAACATTTCAAAGAGGAATTTTTGTCAAATGGAAAGCGCCCTGTGATATTAAATACCAAGATTGATTTTAGAAGAGTTGGATGAAAATATGTTGAAGGAAACTTGTTAATAACCTTCTAGAACGTTCGTGTAATTAAAAGGGTGTTATCCTGGTAACAAAGACAAACGATGTGATTCGTCAGATTTCTGCAAGCCATTTATTCGCTTGTATGTAGATATTGGGGCCGGGCCGGCTGAAATTGGCCTCAGCTGTTGCGGTGTCCCTGCCGACCCCTTCTTTAGTTTATTTACGTTGTATGTTTTTTTTTTGGTTCACGAACACCATTATACACTCAAAGTCCTCTTACATGACAGACCCAATTCTTTTGCGATCAATCAACAAGGGATTTCTCAAATTAATCAGTTGAGGAAAACCCGAATGTCCGCTCCCATGGTAACTGACCAGTGTAACAAACTAAGCAGTGGCTCGCGCGCACTAACAAAATGCCTTTAACTATCGGCTAAGGGAAAATCAAATTAACAGTCATCCTCATCTTGCAGTTATGCAGGCGGGGTTTGCTTTCCTCGAAGCCGGCTCAGTGAGATCGAAGAACACAACAAACATCCTCATCAAGAACGTCTTGGATGTCTGTAAGTATTTATTTGTCAGTAGTGATTTTTGAACAGAAAAAAAAAACAGCTACCCTTTTAAAAAAAAGTCTTATAGTCTCATATGTCGCCACGGTCACTACAAGAGTAACTGAATAAGCCATTCCAGAGTTGCCCATGCAACCCTTTGTTTCAAAACGAGATTAAGTCCCAAGCCTTTGATATGAAAATTACCGGTAAGTCTATTTTTTCCTAACCAATGAAACCCCTTTTCACAAGAAAAGTTTTGCACTTGGCCTCGCTTTGAAAGTGAGATTTCTGGAACTCGGAAATGGGCTATTTAGATCGTAGTACAACGGGGATTATTGTTATTATTATTATTATTATTATTATTATTATTATTATTATTATTGTTATTATTATTATTATTATCATCATTATTATTATTATTATTATTATTATTATTATTGTTGTAGAAATAGGAACTGGGATAGCCCAGACTTAATGCAATTTTGAATTTTTTGGCTTTTGTTTTGTTTTGATTTGTTTTTGTTTGTTTTTGTTTTTTTTTCTTTTCAATAATCCAATCTCAAGCAGCATTTGTAAATTCCCTATACGTAGCGAGATTTACAATTGTACATTCAAAAACACAAATAAAATTACCATTATTATTATTATTGATATTATTATTATTATTTTTACACAGCCCTATGATAAATTCTTTCAGATGAGTGTCAAGGAAATCGTTCATAAATGAAAGTGATGAATGTTTCTTAAACAAGTTCTTTTTCGTTTTTACAGTCTTGGGTGCCATCGCTTATTGGCTGTTCGGCTACGCGTTTGCCTTTGGAGCAGATGGCAATGGTTTCATCGGTCACGAATATTTTGCTCTGTCTTACCTGCCTTCTGGGACGTTCTCTCATTGGTTTTTCCATTTTGTGTTTGCCGCTACAGCGGCAACTATTGTCAGCGGTGCTATGGCTGAGAGAACTGAGTTCAAGGCTTACCTCGTGTACTCTGTATTTCTGACTGGTCAGTTATAGTCATGTTACTACACTTACGAACCAATACATAGCTTAAAGATAAACGTGCACTGGTCGGTGTATTACGAAGAGCATAACAAGGGGAAAACATTAGTTTTAGTTTCGCGTAGGGATGTCTAGAAACGCTCCGGGCCAAATTGTAAAAAAAGTGAAGCATGTGATTGTTAGTAAGGGGTTTGAAGTCAAGACCGTTGAATGCAAAGACAAATTAAAGACCCATTCACAGGGTTAGTCTCCAACTAAGCAGAGAACATGATCATCCATTCTCAGCTTTGAGAAAACCCGACTTTACAATAGCGTGTTCGATCTAGGTGTTGAACAAATATTTCAATGAATTATCATGTTTGCACCCATTTCTTTCACGTCGCATCAAATACAACAGTGAGTGAATAAGAAAAAAGTGCCTTATTTCTAATTAAATCCCGCTTGCTTTAAGTTGTAACCACACCCTCTCCCCCGGAACTCCACTTCTTAAACCAGGCTCAAGTAAAAGGAAAAGAAATGCACGCCAACTCAATTTTTATTTTTGAAGGTTTCCTGTACCCGATAGTCACTCACTGGGCCTGGGACGGTAACGGTTGGCTGTACAAAGGCGTGACATACGACGACGGAGGAGCCATCACTTACCAGGTAAGCCTTTCATAGCACTTCAATGATCGGTTACAAATTTCTCCCCGGCTTATCAATGCCTAATTAATCAGTTCAACAAGGAGCATATAGAGTCGATGGTACCTAACGAAATTCTCGCATTCACATAAAACGAATTTGGACTCTACTGTCGAGGAAGAAGGCTGATTCCTGACCAAACGGCTGCGCAGAAACTAATCCGGTGTAGGTGTCTTCTGGTTGGGAAAAACACGAAATTAAAAACGCTATGTGAGCGAGAAAGAAAATTTCGGAGGAGTCAATACTCGAGAATGCTTTTCTTCTTCCCGTAATCTTCCCCCTCACTCCCAGTTTTACCAAACTTTCTTGATTACTCCCCACGCTATCCTTTATTTGACAGCTTATTTTTCGGGATAATATATTGCAATGTGGGTTAAGGGCAGCAATCGAAAATGCCGAATGCGCACGTCCTAAGATCTGACACTACGTACATAAAACATAGGCTTTGCAAAAACGTCAACAATGATGACAGAAAAAACTTATGCAAAACGCGGTTGTAGCCGTAGTGACTTTAAGTGACCAATTGAGGGGTTGGTCCATCGGTCCTGGGAGTCTGTCCTGTGTACTTTGCCAGATCTTGTAAAAGCTAAGCCGTCTTTAGGGCGACTTTCCCCGGTGCCCTGTTGTTGAGAGACTCTTGTACAAGTGCTGTGGGCACTGCAACAACCTTACCCCCTGTCACCTTGCAAGATCCTCCAACCCCGATCCAATACCTTTCTGTAAGAGCTAAGCCGTCTTTGGGGCGACATCTCCCGGGGACATATCGGTGGTAGACTTGTTCTAGTGCCGTCGACACTGCGCCACCCTTTGCAAGATCCCCCCCCCCCTCAACTTCTCCCGATCCGCTTCGTTTGTTGCACTTGAGAACATCTCTTTTGCGTATCTATAGGACTTTGCTGGAAGTGGCGTTGTTCATGCACTCGGTGGGACGGTTGCCTTGGTAGGTGCAGCTATTGTTGGTCCAAGAATTGGTCGATTTGTTAACGGAGAACCTCAGCTGTTGTCTGGCCATACCGTACCGGTAAGTCGATACTAGTCCCAGTATGGAGTTCTCTATGAATGAGTCTGTACAGCTGAAGTTTTAAAACTGGCAAAAATGGCAATACTTTAGATTCCATCAATAGGCTGAAACCTAAAATCACTTCTAACACAGCACACTGACAACAAAGATAGGGAAGTACAGATTCTGAGTACAATTTCAATCAAGGATAAGGAGTTAAACTCTGCTTTTGCCTGTATCAAAGATAAAGAACATGTACGCATTGTAGTCGTTACGTTTCTCGTTTTTTTGCTTTACTAGTTTTAAAAATAAGATTTAGCATAATCACACTTCACTTTTGGAAGAAAATACTCATATCACAACTGGAGCGCAGCCCATAACCCAATGGGCTCCTGACGTGGAGGAATAAGTCATTATTGTTTTGTTTCCTTGGTTACAGCAAGCTGCCTTGGGTGGATTCATTTTGTTCTTTGGTTTCTTGGCATTCAATGGCGGTTCCCAAGCAGCCATCGCTAGCGCAGGAGATGCTGACACAGTCGCACTGGCCATTGTTAATACCATTATCGGAGGTGAGCTTTCAGTTAATACTTTTTGTGCGCATGCTCATTTAGGACCACGCTTCTACTGGCCATCTTGAGGCCGCGCACGAGTACTGGGTCGGTTTGTGTTGAATTTTACTGTGGGACTGTTTCAGGGGATGAATTTTGACCCAGGTTCCCGCGCAACCTTGTAGTAGCCAATAAGAGAACTGATAGCCTCCACAAAACAGTGCTAAGGTGCAATTTGACACAACACCCATCCCAGTCGTACACGTAACCTCAAAATTGGTGGTAAGCGCCCTTCTCTCTCCACTCTAAGGTACAGAAAAGTATTCAAGACACCTCAATTTGCAGCCTCCTCTATTCTAAAGCCTCTGCTTACTTTAGAAATAAAAAATATAAGTGAGAAACCGCTTTCAATTTGTAAAACTAAGTGGTACTCCACATCCTCTAACTTAAATTCTCTTGAAATTGGGGAAATCTTGACTCGTGAGCGTTGTATGCCTGTAATGGTAGCCACTCTCTTTGTTTCACAGTACGATACTTATAGTAAACGGCCTTCATTTAAGCTAAGCCTGAATAAGCATCCTTAACAATCAATAATGAACTCGGGGAAAAGACTGTAACTCTGTTACTATTTTCGCCAAAATGTGTTATCGACATCCCCTTCTCATTGCTCTTAAGCATGGTATTCTCTTAAAATTGCAATAACGATTGATCGCCGCCGAAGCTAGCGCTTTGCATCCTTATCCTCAGAAAACCCTTCTAGACAGTATGCGTCCAGTTTTTTTTTTTTTACCAGCGCAGGTGATCAATTATGAAACAGATCTCGGCTTTTATTGGTCAGATCGGATCCTCATCGAACGCGTGTCGAATGCGTCCCGCGAGTTAAACGCCTTTAACGCGTTACTCCCCATCCTCCTTCCGAATCTAGTGTAAAGTTATGGTAATGTTAGCGAACAAGACGCCCATATATAAACATCACAGTTTTTGGCTAATCCGAGGCTTTAGTTCCTCTTTTTTATCCCATGTAAGGGAATCCAAGACTTGGATTCTGGATTACACGTTGTGGATTCCGGATTCCAGGTACTGAATTCTGATTCTTTGTCAGTGGTACTTGGATTCCGGATTCCAGTCGTTAGTGGAATTCCGGATTCCAAAGCCCGTGATTCCGGATTCCACAAGCAAAAATTTTCCGGATTCAGGATTCCGGATTTTCTTACATGGGTTGATCTTTCGTTCATTGTGGAAATCGTTACGTTCTGTACAACAATCCTGTTAACTCCAGCTACAATTGCTGTCTACATTAAATTATTCTTTTTTCCCTTTTGGTCGGTGTTTAGTGTTACCCTCGTTAAACAGGGCGATTTTTTCATTGCATAAATATATCACATTTTGTTTAGCAAGTGTTTCACTTACTAATCGTTAATAAGTGCATCAAAAATTTCTTTTTGCGGGAAACCAATGACCTAAATCAACTCTGAAAAACAATCCAAATTTTGTGTATTTGGATAATTGATGAGGTTGAAGAATGATTCCTTTTTATTGCATTTTAGGAGCCGCTGGTGCCATCACTGCCATGATTATCAAGCGTTTGGGATATGCAGAAAAGTACTGGAGTTTGTTGTTTACAATCAATGGAGGACTGACTGGAATGGTGAGAAAGAGAATCAGAATCAGCTTTATTTGCAGGTTTCAGTTTTGGATTGCTGTTTCTTGTGATTGGTTGACATATTTCGCGCCATGAAGTAAGATCATCCCTGCAAAACTAGTCGTGACTTCAGTGCGCGCGTTGTGCGCGTTGTGTGCCCGCGCTGCGTACGAGTTGTCCTTGCGCATTTATTTCGAGTTGATATTGCTTTATAACTGTAGTTAGTCTTTACAAAAGAGAATGAGCTTATTATTTTTTTGTTTGTAGCTGTTTTTATATCGAACAGAGCCGAATTACCTCTCTAAAAAAGCCTTTCAATGAAACTGCTATGCTTTGCCGCATACTTTGTTAGCTTCACTTGAGTACTGTCTCCACTCAGCTTTCGCCATGCAAATGCTCAGGTAGTTAGAGTAAGGTCTTGCTTTTGCCTTCATTGGTGGAGACTGAGGTGGCTGGAAGGTTTTAAGGTAATTATGGCGGCAAAGCTCACTGCCAAAAAAACAAACAAACAAACAAACAATCACGACACCTTTTAATGAAGCCGCTCTCGATTCGATCGTTATTTTGTAGGTTGCTTTGTGCGCAGGTTGCAACGTTGTTCATCCCTATGCTGCTTTTGTCATTGGTATTATCGCCGGAATAGCCTATGTTGCATGGAGTACACTTGTCGTCAAGCTAAAGATCGATGATCCACTAGACGCTGTAGCAGGTAAGAAGAACAGCAAAGATAATGAGTAGGTATTGGATTCGGCTTTGGTATGATATGAGGAATTAAGCAGATCCCGATGGATGTTATACGCCTCGGTCGATCTGCGTAATGCATCAATCAGCTGAAACTCCGCCCCCCCCCCCCC